TATTTTCTATCCCAGCTGAAGGCGACGGGACATCAAAAAGTCAAATGATGTATTGTCGCTGCCTTCATAAGTGCAGAGATCATTTCTGATTTAAGGTTCACTTTTGGGGGCTTTTTTAAAAATTTTGTTCAACACGGAAATACTCTCAAAATCGGTTTAATTATTAAGTTACACAGCACTCAAGGGAAAGAGTATCTTTGTTTTGTAAGATTACATTTTTAACTGCTCAGATTCTCCAATTCCAAGTCGACGCGTGTGGCTGCTCAGTGTTTTTTGCGATGGCACAGTAAGCAGACATTTAACATTCCGACAAATGTAGATTCAACGTACAAAGGCCACTTTGACGCACACATGTGGCGTGTTTCCAAGTGCACAGACACCACTACTCCCTATTTCACAGCTCTGGTCTCCACTTAGTGAGTCGTCTCCACTTGGTCCCACTGAGACAAAGTGACTTGCTGAGAAGACAAAAATGAATCACCAAACCTTCCTCTTTGTGTTCTCGCGTCTCGACAAACGCAAACGACAACAGGTACACACTTCCACAGGAGTTGTTTTGTGGATATACCACAACAAAAGAACCCAGACAGGAAAGACACACACACACACACACACACACACACAGATCGGGGATGTCCTCCTCCCTTGCCTGCATGTTGGTTACCATCAAGACGTTGTGCTGACAGCACTGCTGGTGGAAAAGGAGATGTGGGCAAGACGCTCCGCCTGGAGCCAACAAAGAAGAACTGCTTCACCTGAAACTCACAGAAGCCTCCGATGTTCCAGACAGCAGGCTGTAATCTACACCTTCACCTCCAGTAAGACGGGTTGGTTCGGGTGTCTTGAGGAGGACTCGTGGCAGTCGGTGCGCTAACGATGAGTCTGAGGAACAGACAGTTGCTGCTGTGGACCCACGTATGCTTCTCTAGCTTTAGTTTAAGTGTGAGCTACGTTGTGTCTGAAGGTGTAATTTGCCATTGGACAGCTACACAGCCGGTGACTGTCTACGCTGGAGCCAACGCCAGCAGACCCCGCTTAAACCTCCGTCCCCCCTGCTGGGACAGATCTGTGGGCTTGTGTGTTTTGTGACCCCATCAGATCCGCGAGTGGCCGTGCACGGCTAGCTTCAACCTGTTAGATACGCACGGAGGAGTGAGACAGTCTCTCGGGGAGAGGAAGCAGGTTCCTGACGTGTAATCGGATGGCCCCTCAATGCGTCCGTTGTAGCGGCCGGCCAAGGAACCTGACACCAGGTAATAGTCTCGTCCCGCTCCGCGCAGCCACACGCACAATTTCCCCCTAAAAGCACCCTGCCAAAGCGCTCAGACTCCGTCCATCCCGCCCGTCACCTCCCACCTGACCCTGACAGAGACTCTACAAGCCCCCGGGGGGCCTCAAGGGGCCCAAAAAGGACGATTCATTGTGTAAGAAAAAAAAGTCTTTTCAGTGAATCCTATTGTTTTTAATAGGGAGCCGTTATGGGCACAGCAGCGAGTATTGTGAACCCTCCAATACAAACATGCAAAGTTTGGGAAAGAGACCAGAAATTCTCTCAGAGAGCAACTCGTCACGCATGTGCGAGCACAATGCTTAAAAGTTGGGGGGTTAAAGCAGCGCATTTAGTGCGACTGACCAACAACAACAACAACGCGTTTTTTTGCTGCCACCAGTTGGGAGTCAAGAGAGCGAGTCATTCATCCGCCGTAATGGGAGGTCTGGTCACGCGAGTTTGGAAATGAAGCACAGCTGCCTGTTGGAGTCTGAATAATCACCAGGTTTTGTTGTGGCAGCAAAGATAATAAAACATTTTGTATGACGGCAGAAAAAGAAGCTGCATGTTTAAGCGATTTTTGGTGTTATTTGTTTTTTTCAGGCCCACGACCGGAAAATTAAACCCAAATTCTGTTGGTTCAGAGCTTACACAGATGTTTTTATCTTTGACTTGTAACTTATGAATCAAATTCTGTTCCCCAGCGCCGGTGTTTTGCCCGAGCCTTTTGCCTTCCACGCGTTAAACCCCCTCGCTGAATTATTTAGTCACCAGTTTCAGTTTAACAGCCAAACGACAAACATTTGCCTTTCGTATCGATGTTGAACAACCTTCACCGGAAGGCACTCGCACACAGATGTGTCCACACTTCTTCATTGTGCAGGCACGGCCAAGAAAAACGCTGCTTGGGGTGACCCACGGCTGCAAAAGCCACAAGGGGGCGGGGCTTAGCGTAGCGTCAATTGTGTGCCCGTCGCGGTGAGCCGCCGTGCGCTAGGCCAGATAAATGTAACAGGGCCATGATTCATGCCACTAATTACACCTGCGTTTGCCCTGTAGAGACCCGTCCTTAATGGAGGCCGTCCCGATGCGATGCCAGCCGGCGCTGCCCCGGGGGTTACGCAACACACCCGCGTTATTGGGAACTCCATTACACAAAACATGGGGGCGGCAGCGGCAGTCCACAGTGCAGCGATTAGCCTGATTCAAAGGGCTGATTCGAGGGGGGGGGGGGCTGATTTTTGCAGATGGAGAATCAGGAGCAACATGTTCCTCTATCTGGGCACCGGTGGAGATTCGGCGGTCGAGGTCACAAAGGGGGCGTTTGATTCGGCCTTTTTCTCTGCTCTCTTACCGCGGCGATGATGCCTCGAAAAAGCAGGAAGATGTGAGAATTGTTTATTTTTAGATGCAGCTCTGCTGATGTGCGTTATCGTGGTGAGCAGACGCTCTAAAAAGGCTCCGTCCGACATCTCGCCACAGCGTACTTAAGCTCACTGTCAACGCCGCGCCGTTATTCCCCCCCCCCCGGGTTAACCGGATACTCCGTCGACGCCGAGCGGAGTGCAGCGGCGTTTCATCCCACACCGAGATGGAGCCCGGTGTCCCTCGAGGCTCTTCTTTAACAAATCACATTCATTTAATATGCAGCAGCCAATAGCGGAGGATTAGCTTCTGCGGGAGGGTTTGATTCGGAAAAAAATGGAGGAATTACACCATGAAAAGAAAGAAGAAGAACTTGGAGACGAGAAGCAGAAAGCAGGGTGACAGAAGAGGCAGCGGAGGGATTTAAGGGAGGTGACAATTTATTTCATTCGTTGTTAAACGGAAAGCGACGAGGATGAGGATCCGATGCGGCGTGAGCGCGACTGACTTGAGTTCAAGAGGCCATCAAATTGTTCCGCCGGGCGCCATCACAACGACCAGAGGAGAAATAAGAGGCATAAAGAAGAAGAAAGCTGGGAGAAAAATAATCAATAGGCTTCTTTCTCTAAGCAGCAGCGAGGACTCCAGCAGCCGGCGGACGAACCGAGCGTCCGTCCACCGACCCCGATAACACGCCGCCGTGGCCATTTATCTTCCTTCCACTGGCTCCTCTCCTACAAATGTAACGCTGTAATTGGGCTGAGGGCCGGCCGCCGCGTTACTGATGTCGCCAGAGGCCCGGGGCCGGGCTTTATTCCATGAGGGGGGGGGGGTCAAACCGCCGTTTCGTAATCCAAAGGTCGGGATTCTCTGGACTTGTAACTTTTCTTGTGATGCTACAAACTTTCATACAGACTTTAGGATTACGCAATATGGAAATGAAGATATGAGTTATTAAAAAAAGGAATAAAAGGCGACTTGTTTACTTTCTCACACTGAGGGATTAAGACATATTCAGCGTGTGTGTGTTGCTGAGATATGCGGGGTGGATTATGGAGGTTTACTCCCGAGCGAGCGCGGCATGCTGGTGCTTCTTCGCGTACATTTAGTCAGTGTGCGCGCGCGTCTCCGCCCATCTGCGTGGGCTTAGCTGGAGGCCGGAGCGAGCGGGTTTTTAAATGTCTCACCAGTGTCTCATCGCGCCCTCTACGGCCAAATAGGACGCAGAGGGGCAGAAACTGGGAATCGAGCGGATTGGGAAGAGAAACGTGAAGAAAGAAGAGATGAGCATGAGCAGCAACGTACTGCCTGAACACCCACGGGAACGTGTTGATGTGGCTGCTGATCATTGATTGAAGAGGTTTATTTACTCCCACCCGCAGCAGAATAGAGGACAACCGCTCTCCCCCATTCCTTCCTCTCCGAAGCTGTCTGTCCACCTGCCCTTTCCCTCCGTCCTGTCTCTATCTCCTGGCTGTAATGGGAAGACAAACCTTTGCTGTAATGCTCTCGCACGTTAACTGACAACCACAAAAGGTCACCGAGAGGGAGCGGCCTCCTGCTTCTAACCACTCGACTAGAGAAGCTCCGTCCAAATGTCACCCTGATACAGATGAGCGGCGTCACCTCGAACTCCTGTCTTCTCTCATTTTGGTCTTGTAATAAACATCCTACCGTTCAATCTTACAGTTACATCAGCCCAAAGTCTAGAAGTCCACGCCGTTGATTGGTGGCCATGTTTTACCCAGTTGCCAGAAAAAAAGCAACTCAAGACCCAAAGCGCTCGTGTACGTTAACGGCACCAGGGCCATAAACCGTGGAGAGAAATGTACGCGTGCGCTGAGGCAAACAGTCATTGGGAAGTTTGGGGATCGAGCGAAAAGTTGAGCCCACCGTCGGAGAGGCAGGGGGGGGAGAGAGGGGGAGAGAGAGAGAGAGAGAGAGAGGGGGGAACATGGACAAACTGGAAAACGAGAAACGGAGACGCAGTCGATTACGATTCCCATCTTGTCGTTTGTGTCTCCGTTGATTCGTTTGGGGACGGGGACCTCGGCCTCTCGCCATTTCACCTCGTTGCACTCGCTGCGACCCGCTAATTACTTCACTGAGACCTACTCGGCCTCACCTCGCTGCACCGCCTCGCTGGCGGGAGCTGCCTCGTTGAACCCAACGTTGGCGGGGGCGGGGGAACGCGCCGGGATTAAGGATGCGTGATGCGTGTCGCAGCGGCGGCGGCGTAGTGGGTAGATGTAAAACAAAACGATAAGAGAGAGGAGCGGTGAGGGCGTGCGTGAATATTTCTGGCGCCAACACGCCGCCGCTAACCCCAACCGGCGATGAATGGGGACGTTCAGTCCTCACGTACCTGATTGGATGAACCCGAAGGCCCAGTTGGGCTCGACGCTCCCGAAAGGGTTGCTCGCTTCTTTCGACACCGGCGCTTCGTGGTCCTCCGACTTCGGGCTGGCGCTCTTGAACGGCGTCCACCGGCTCCCCACCACGAAGGACTCGGACACCGCCGACCGGGATTCCATTTCCGTGGCGGCGGCGGCGGCGGCGTTGGAGCCCGACGCAGCGGTGGTCAACCAAACAGCGCCCGAGGTGCTGAGAGCCGGAGCAGCTGAGAGGTCGCGTGTCGTTTTCTCCCGCTCCTCCTGCACCCACGAGATGGAGATGGACGCCTCCTCGGTGGTGGCGCTCTCCGGGGGGTTCCCCGGTGGGGTCGTCGCGGCGGTAGGGTCCGTCCTGCGTGCGCCTCCGGTCGTCTGAAGCTCCGCCGCGGTCGCTGCGGGGGTGGTCAGCGCCTCCGTCAGGACCCCGGGGGCGGAAGTGGGCGCCTCCACTCGGCTGGTGCTTTCGCCGTACTTCTTAAAACCGGCGCTGAGCGCCGAGTCTGAAGTACTTCCTTCTCCGGGCGAGGGCGGCGAGGTGGGGTCGTGGGCGGGGTCGTGGGTGGGCCCGCGGACGTAGAGGATCTCTCCCCTGGCTTCCTCTGCCGGCTCCGGCTCCAAGGGGCCCCCGGGTGGGGTGGTGGGCTGCTGCACCAGCTGCCACTGGGACGGCGAGGTGAGCTCCCCCACCGTCACCGGCTGGGTGGGGCTCGGGACGAGCGAGGGCTTCACTTCAGGGCTGCTTTTGGCTTTTGAACCAAATCCGCCGGGAAAGCTGCTCCCGTCGCTGCTCCCCTCCATCGCCAGAGACCGCAATTCACGTTAAATCCATTTATTTATTTTTATTACCTCACAAGTCCTTTGACCTCTAAATTTAACCTGCATTCATTTTGTAATTAGCTTTAATTTGGAGTCTTGCCTCAGGCCAACCCAATAAATGTATGTCCGATATTCACTCACCTTGTAACTGAGCTTTTGATCGGCAAAAACCTTTGAGGGAAATATTTGGCCCTTTAGCGCTTAAATGCCCCACATGCTGTCGGTCTTTTTACGAATAGTGGTTTAATTTGAGCTGCCTTCTTCAGCTAATAACACGGTTTATGACAAAAGGGCTTGAAAACAGAACAATGAGTTGACAGAGGCTGAAATGCTTAAAGCATCTGAGAGAATAACCTGAGAGATAATGATGCGTCTGGTTGTCACAACAAGTATTTCGATCCATTCAAAATTCCATGTTTATAAGGGCGGTTGAAGGTTACATTTGCTCTCGCCTTTGGTGATGTTATGAAAGATTCCACTAAGAGGTGTTGTGGATTCATATCTTCACTGAATCTTCAACATAGAATAAACAAAAGAAAAAGCATCACACTGGTACTTTTTTCAGCAGGTATACAG